CTTTCATTTTTATTTTATTCTTTGATGTTCTTCACCAGTCTTGTTTTGCTACCATTCTTTTCACAACTGTTTTCTTTGGTTTTGTCTGTAATTATAGTTTGTTTTTTTTTTTCTCCCACAACACATCTTTTCTTCCTAATCATTTGCATGCTCAGCTTTCAGATTTGAGTGTTACATAGTTCTCGTATTGGGGTTTAGTAATTCTGGCTTGCTAGTTACAGGCAGGTGCAAAATATGTTTGACTCCACTGTTCGCAGTCAAATCCAAAGGACAGAAGCAACAGTCTTCCTTTTGTCTTGGAAAAGATAGAGGTGTGGAAGCCCTGTCAAAATACATAGTGTGCATGGGAATAGTATCTTTCGCATCTGTCTTGTACTACCGTTGATGCCAGCAGTGGTTATTGGGTGTAAAAGCTCAGAGGTGTCCAGGCTGGGTTGTCTGGAGCTGGCCAGGCAGGTTTGCGAAGCCTTCTGATCATATTCATCAGCTCTGCCTGCCTAATTAGTCCTAGCCTTAGAATCCCTAAGAATGTGCTATACTGGAAGAAAGCATTCTAAGTTTCTAATTAATTTGAAGCCCTCCATTAAATTATCTGTGGTCGCTTGAAGGGCCAGCAGTACCTTTCTCCCTTGCTCCTGGTCCTCTTTGCTGTTGAAGAGAGCAAGTTGAACTCGCTCTGACTTGCTTATCCAATGTTGTTCCCTACTTGTTCAGTGTTGTGGTTAATCCCCACACTATTCAACTTTCATTAGTGGTATAAATTATTGTTATTGGTTTTTTGTACTCTATATGGGCGGTAAAGTTTTGTATACTAGGCAAGCCCTTTTAGAATCTCCACTTTAATTACTCAGTTTGGATGAATTTTAGTTGAATATAATCACCAAGATTTCCTGTTCCAATTAGCTAAGAAAACTATGGGTTTTGGCCAAGAATCTCAAAATCAGAATTAATTATGCTGTTCAGTTGTATCTTCTAAATAGCATGCTTCCAAATTGTACTTTGGAAGTCAGTTTCTTACATAAATTCCTTATTTATGAGCAGTGGCTGTGTTGTAGCTAGTGACTACATATTTCCTGTGAAGTTCTGAACTGGTGGGGAGCTCAAACAACAGGTAGTGTGTTTGTCTGCATATATCTGAGAAGATACTTTATGCTGTTACACTGAAGAGTTGAAGCAGATGTAGTGTGGTGCTTGAATTCTTTGCAAAATACAAGGTGTATGACCCCAGTTCTGTAAACGTGGGTTTATACGGAGTTAATCGCTGGTTCAGATTTGCACACAACCTTGCTGGGTGGTTTGAATACCAAATAGTTTTTCAGTAAGTCTAGATCTATGGATATATACTTTAAATGTTTGCTGCACTTAACTGCTCAAAGAGAAGGTGTTAAATATTCTAATCTTTCCTCTTTCAGTTCAATAATAAGAAAGTTTTTCAGCTTTATTTTGCTGTGGAGTCAGTACTTCTGATTGTTTTAAAACTTATATATGGACAGCATAAGCAAGCTGAATTAAAAGATTCAGTTTAGTATTTTGCATGGCTGAGTAAGGAGATACTCTAAATGCCTGGACTTTTTTTTTTTTTTTTTAATATTGTTGAGTTGTGTGACAGAAAGGAGAAATTCATGTAATCCCAAGTAAACATCAGAAAAGGAGTTGTCCTTGATTGAGTTTGAAATACATGTGCATACAGGCACCTTTCATGATGCATCTTTGCTTCTGGGTTCTATATAGCAGAAATTCAGGACCGTGAAATGTCACTGACCCAAGATCAGTTTAATAAACTAAGCTACGCTTCCAAACCTAAGACTTTAGATGTGAAATGGTAGTGTATCATGTTTTATTACTTTGGTTGCAATAAAAGGTTTTTATTGTACCATGTTCTCTTTTGCAGTGACAGGTTCCCTAATTAAGGGGAAAGCATTGCATTAAGTCGTTAACAGGGACATACAAGACTATAAAGGACCTTCTTCAACCCAGCCTGGTTTCTGTTTTTGCAAGATGTGTAATTCTGTTCAGGGAGGGGTAAAGGTTGTCTGAATGTATGGAGAACATCTGGTAGAGTAACTTTTGCTGCTTTGTTGGTTCTGAGTCTGTTGGCATATGATGAATTTAAAGAATGAAATAAAAAAGATGATGTTATTGGGATATTGAGACAAATGAAACAGCTTTTTCTAGAATAGGTGAAAATTTCTAAAGGGTTAAAGGCAAAGAATGTCCCCTTACTCTTCTATATATACCCTCTGTACCTTTTAATTTTTTTTTTTTTTTTATATAATATATCCTGACCTCCCGGTCAGTGTGCAACTAACTGATTAAAAAGCAAAAAATTCTATATTAAATAGATGGAAGAGAAGGCACGCTCTTTGTGCTTATAACAGAGAGCATATGTCTTTGCTGCTGTAGTTGCAGGTGCCTACTTAGGCTAAATGAGCGTATCTTTTCCTGTAGCTTCTAAAATTGAAGTTAAATTTCACTGTGTAGCAAAGGTCTCTTTAACCTTGACCTAATGAACTGAGTTGATATATTGAGTGAAAATACATTAAGAAGTTACATGGGACATAGTAATTATGATCATGTCATTTGAAGACTAATTAAAACTACTAAACTTTTTTTGTATCTTAAACAGACTTTTCTCCAAGCAATTTATTGTAAAATATTATGGTTAATACTTACGTTATGATCAGTTCTCTCTCACCCAGTTAGTAAGACTAGCGTTCATTTGGTTGCTTAATATTTGCAACATGATTGGCTTCTTTTAAGATGCAGAGTTCATAGAATAGGAAGATGGATTATTACACTGCATTTCAAACAAGATAGTTCTTGGAAAAAGTGGAGCTGATCTTTTTCTTTTGCAAGTTTCTTGAATAATGAACAGAAAAGACAACATTCCCAGAACTTGTACTGAGATGACAATATACACAAACCCACTATATTATTTGTGTAGAAGAATTTTTTTGGCTGGTAGAAAACTTTATGAATGTAAAGTACTGGGATTAAGTCCTGAGAAGTTTTGAAGAAAGATTCTCCTGTTAAATAGAAGTTGTAGGACTCTGAGTCTGACCTTGGTTTAATTCCTAGAGCACTCGGCCAATAGGTAATCTTGGCAAATCTGTTAATTTTTCTTTCTGTTTCTTCATCTGTAAATTAGGTAAAATATTTATGTGGTCATAGGGCTGCTGAGGATAATTGAAAAAGTTTCTGAAATAAATTGCACTTGACAGTTATTTGTAGAGGCTGGGAGACTGACTGAAAAGAACGGATACGCATGTCCTTGTGATGATATAAAGGTCCTACAAACTTGAAACTAGGAAACGTACTTGCCAGAAATACCAGAAATCCCATTTGTTTAATTTTTCTACTTTATTTCTGTTCTCAGCTAAAAAATTAACATACTCATGTATGATTATAAATCTACTCGGATAAGCTCATTTTAATGTTGTTTACATCAGTTTGTGTCTTAGGTTCGTTCTTTTTTAATGCTGGTAAGGCATCCGTTTAATACTACTGAGTGATGAGAAAGTAGGGCTCTCTTTATAGGTGGAACTTTCTCTGCAGTATGTAGATGGGGTTTGTTCACTGATTTATCAAAGTTTATGATATCTCAGTATGCGTACGTGGCTGTTAATTTTCTTTCTGTTCTCTGTCTTTCTAATTTTTGTTTTGTTCCCTTCTTTTTTTTCTTCTTCTCTCATACTGCCCTGTGAGTTTGTTGTTGGGTCTAAAAAGGTAGGCTGTGATTGCGTATATTTAAAAATAGTTAGCTTCCTTCCATATACTGCCTTTCCACTCCGCCTTCATTGCATATTTTAGTGTTGCTTTTTATATTTATTTTTCAGTACACACAAAAATAATTGCTGTCTGGAGCCTTACTACTGTGGTTGACCCCTTTTGGCGCATTTGGCAATTATATTTGGTAGCAATGCTGAATTTTTTTGTAGGACACACATAATTTGCTTAGGCGGCTGCTGGCCTCTGGACTTTGCTTTATTTTTTAAACTCCGAAGCTATAAAGCTGTTGCTGCCTGTGTTTGGTTCCCAAATTCAAAAGTTCTGGCAGTCAATCAAATGCCATAGCTGTGTCTTTTAAGTCTGGATAATGTTATGATTGGTGATATCTGTAGTTCTGCATGCTAATTGGAATTAGCGGAATTTGATGGAAATTTTTGTTGAAGCATTTTGCATGAATACTTTTGCAAAATCATTTTGCATGTTTCTTATTTTTAAACTTAGCCACTTTGAAATTTTGAGGATCCAGAAGTTCCTTCAAACCTGTTGCTGGATGGTTTGTAGTGACAATAAATTATATCTTGAAATAAAATATTGTTGTTCTGAATTTGCCATAAAACTATCTTGGGATCCTAGAAAAGAGCTGGGGATGAAGGGGTAAAGCACGTATCCTATATAGCAAGTGAGGTAGA